CTAAAATTACCCAAGTCCCCACAAGAAAGAAAAAGTACATAATTTCTAAAGAGGATGGAGAAATTAAAATCTATCTTTTAAACATTTCACTTGTGCTTGGCTTCCCATACATTCTTGTCTCTTTTCTTCTCTGGCTCCCTGGCACTGTGGAAAGGGCACTTCCTTGAGCTAAGATCTGGTCTGGGGAACCTCTTGAAAAGTCACTTAACCTCCCTTGGTCTTAGTTTCCTTATCTGAAAAGTGAAAGATTTGGAGATGATCCCTCTGGCCCCTGGAATTCCAGCCCCCAAAGTCCTTGCTAGTCTACTTATTGCTCTTCTTCAAGGTTCTTCCTGAAGGTTCTGACCATGTTTCTATCATAGGTTGTCAGTTACCTCTATTGTCTGATGTACTTCAATCCCTGCTGCCTATTCCTCCAAACACTTGCCTCTACAACTTAACTCTTTCTTTCCCATCACTCTGATTTGTTTACCTTTTTAGTGGCCTGGGATGATAATATATTTTTTTTGCCTTTCTCATCATGCTTCCCTCTCACCATACTGTTTTTACCAGACCTCCACCCTTTGTTGATTTTCTTTCAAATGACCAACCTGAGGATCTCCAGAACTTTAGAAAATTGTTCCTATAATTTCTCCCTGGAAAACACAGGCACTCACATGTTCTTCCCTGCCCCCACCCCAGCCTTCTTCCACAGTTAGAGGCTCATGGCCCTTCCCCCACAACCTCCCTTTTCTGTTCCACTGCCTTGGACTCTTCACAAACTCCATTTCTCCTCTATTTAACATGGGTAACATGGAGAAATGAAGGAGAGCAAAAAGAATAAATTCTATCCTTCCTCTTACGAATGTTTAAATTCCTGCCATCCATTGCAGAATGAACTCTGAAAAGGAACACCAGACAAGCCTCAGTCTGAATGACCCTCCTTGATCTTCACACCCTCCCTTTGCCCCTAAAACACCATGGCAACTGCCACCTGAAAGAGGCCAGGCGGAAATCATCTAATAAGACCAGAGACTGTTTGCCGATGCTTTCTTATTTAGCCAATTTTTGCAAAGGGTGTTTTTCCCTTACTCTTTATTGCCTTACTCCCTGAATGCTAGCAAGACAAAGAACATGTGGTAGTATATGGAGTTTTGGGAACTATAATTTGTTGTAGATATTTACTTGTAGGTCTTGAAATTTTGTTTAAGATTTTTTTTTTTTTTTATTCATTTGAGACACAGAGATACAGAGAGAGAGAGCATCAGCAGGGAGAGAGGCAGAGGGAGAGGGAGAAGCAGTCTCCCTGCTGAGCAGGAAGCCTTACACGGGGCTCGATCCCAGGACGCTGGGATCATGACCTGAGCCGAAGGCAGACGCTTAACCATCTGAGCCACCCAGGCGCCCCTGAAATTTTGTTTAGAAGTTAGACGTTTAAGTCATCCCCCAGGTTTGCAGCCAGAAAGTGAAATCTGTAACAGAGGCAGAGATCAGTATCATTGTGAGCAAAACACAGGCAATGCCAATCAGGCATTGCTGGAGGAAATTTCAACCTGCCATTTATCAGCTAATTATGAACTAAGCCTCAGTTTTCTCATTTGTAAAATGGCGTGTTCTGCATGTCTAAGATGATAATTATATAATGTTTCTTTATAAAGTTCTTCCACGGGTTGCGGTGCCTGGGTGGTGTGGTCGGGTAAGAGTCAGACTCTTGGTTTCAGCTCAGGTTGTTATCTCAGGGTCATGGGATCAACTGCGCTGCGCGCCCTCCCCTCCAGCTCCGCACTCAGTGGGAAGTCGGCTTGGGCTTCTCTCTACCTCTCCCTCTACCCCTCCTCACATGCTCTCACACACACATTCTCTCTCTCTCAAATAAATAATTTTTAAAGTTATTTTAAGGGTTAAATGAGATTATGTATTCAAAGGGTGTGGCACACAGAATGTATTTAAACTATGATTACTGTTATCAAGAGAAATGTTACGTGCCTTTCAGGGCACCTGGGTGGCTCCGTTGGTTAAGTGTCCGACTCTTGATTTCAGCTCAGGTCTTGATCTCAGGGTCATGAGTTCAAGCCCTAAAAAATAAAAATAAATAAAAATAGGGGTACCTGGGTGGCACAGTCGGTTAAGTGTCTGATTCTTGGTTTCTACTCACGTCGTGATTGAGGGTTTGTAAGATTGAGCCCCACATCCAGCTCCACACTGAGCACAGAGTCTGCTTAAGATTCTCTCCCTCTCCCTCTGCCGCTCCCCTCCTCTAAAATAAATAAATAAATAAATCTTTTAAAAAATAAAGAAAAAAGAATGTTACGTTCCTTACTAGATTCCGAGTTTAGTTCTCTTGCAATTAAAATCAAATTCCTCATAGGATTCTAATTCTTTGGAAGATAGAGGATCTGCCTCTACAACACCTGCTCTTCTACAAACTAGAAAAAAAGAGGAATGCTTAGAGCAGTGTATAGAAGAGGCCTTGAATAAAATGCCAAAAATTTGCTAGGCCCCCCACATGACTATAGTTTTTAGGACAAAAGCCACTATGAGTTTATTTATTTATTTATTTTTTTAAAGATTTTATTTATTCATTTGAGACACAGAGATACAGATACAGAGAGAGAGCATGAGCAGGGAGAGAGGCAGAGGGAGAGGGAGAAGCAGGCTCCTCGCTGAGCCAGGAGCCCGATGTGGGGCTCGATCCCAGGACCCTGGGATCATGACCTGAGCTGAAGGCAGATGCTTAACCGACTGAGCCCCCCACTATGAGTTTAGAAACGCTTTTGACTTAAAAGTATATTAATCCCAACAACATCAACAAACATTTGGCCAGCAGGAGTATACACTTTTGAGACATGTTATATATTCTGGCCACAGGCTGGGCTCCTGTCATGAGTAACATGGAGTCCCGGCAACACCGCAGTTCCCTAGGAATCTAGAGCCCCTGGTTTAGAAACCACCAGTCAAGCACAAATGTCTAAAGCTTGACTCTGCAAAAGAACCATTTAAGAGTTTATTAAAAATCTTAAGCCCCACCCCCCAGAGATTCGGATTGAGTAAATCAGGGATAGAGACCAGGAATATGAATTTTCCATAACTCCCCAAGTGATGACAGTGAGTCCAGTGGAGCATGTGGTGCTCTAGGAATTAGCATTCCTGACTGGCTCCTCCTCTTTCTTCTGAGGATCTCATTCCAATCACCTTTTCTTTGTTCCTCACAGTTCAGGGCTTCTTCCCCCCATACCCTCACCCCCCCTTACAAGAGAAGGATTTATTTGCTTCTAAAACCAGGACTTCTTTAACTGGAGTGTTGTGCTGACATCACAAAACAATGTGTAGGAAAATCTCTGAGAGTCAAACAGAATGACTAACTTTCTTTAAAGAGCAACAACATATCTTTGCTTTTTGAGGACTTAATTTTGACACTAAAAATACCTTTACATCCATTTTAACTAATTCAGAGGCAACCTGTGTTCACAAATGAAGGATACAGAGATTATACTCAAGTGGTCTGGCTTGAAAATTGGCTCTGTGATGTAAACACCTCAATAGTACTTTAAGCTATTCCTAAAGAGAGAAAAAAATTATTAGGCTAATAGCCAACAGAAAAGCTAACATAGAAAATGTTGATAAAATTAGAAAATAGCATAAGAAGGAACCACAAAGCTAGAGGAAAGAGCCCATCTTCACCACCAGCTCACCCCAACCAGAATATTCCCCCAGAGCCTCCCAGGCTCCTACACATTGGAAGGAACTGGGGGTAGGGTGCCAGGATAAGTCCCTTTTTCCTACCCTTTATTATCTTCAGTGCCCTCAAGTGCTTCTTCAATTTCTTGGGAACCTAAGCGCTTAGTTTACAAGGTCAAAAGATCATGGAACATTTTCCAAAAATTAAATCATCAATTGAAGAATGAAAAGTGTTGTTTTAATATTCTCTTCTGCTATTAAGTCAGTCACTCTCTCTCTCTCTTTCTCTCTCTCATTTCTCTCTCCTCCTTTCATTTTCTCGCTCTTTCTCTCCCTCTCTCTCTCTCCTTCCCCTCCCCTCTCCACTTCACCACACACAGAAACCCCTTTTCAAAGGGGCTTTTTTCCAACTCAGTGAAGTAAAGTCTTTGCCCCTTTGTGGGGAAGGCTCATTAACATTCCCACAGCAGCATCTCTTCAAGGATTTTACTTTTGTAACTCTGTGGGGAGGTCAAGAGGCCACAGTGGAGAGGTAAAAGGAAAAAAATGGTAAATGGGGGAGGGCGGAAGAAAGGAGAGGAGGGGAAAGAGCCCTTCCTTTCACAATAAGGCCAGCAAGAAGAAGGGAGGGAGAAAAAATAGGAAAAGACAAGACAGACAAGACCCAGGAAGGACATGAATTTTGGACTCCCAAATCTGCCCTCGGACATCAGAGACTCCTGAGAAAAGCAGAAAGCTATATGCTCTCTTGTTTCTTTTCCTCAAAAAGGAAGTAAATGATGGAAACAGTGGGCTGAGAGAGACAGGACCCAGTCTATTCCACTGAGAAATTAGAAGCTTCCCTGGCTTCAGTGTTCTCATTTCCCCACAACAGCGTGTCTGGCCCAGAGAAGTTAACAGGATGAATCAGACAATGTCAGCAAGAGTTCCAAGGGTGGAACACGAGGGAGCCACCCAGGGTCCTGACCCCGAAGGATGGGGAAAATAATGGAGATTCAGTGAACTCCAAAGCAAAGATCAGAGTGCTTCCCAAACCCCTTCAGATGTGGGTACCTGCCTTGTTTCTCACCAGCAACCTTCTGACCATCTGTTGTCTCTCTCTCCCTTTCTTAATATTGTCACACCAGCCTGGATCCAGGTCAGGGAAGAAACCAAGGGAACTTCCAGTTTGCACCGAACGCTGTGAGTGAACTTTGTTTTATTCTTCGCCGAAGACGCAGCCATCAGATATTTACAGCCCTGAGCTCCAAAAAGGAAAAGAATTTCCACTTTCCTAACTGATGGTGTCTCAGATGCTCTCTCATCTCAGCCAGGAGAGTAAAATGTAAATAAGTCCAGGAGAAGAGGACTCGTGCATCATAGTGAGGAGATAGGGCACATCTGGTTATTCTACGCCCAGGAGCGCAGTATGGCCAGAAGTTAAAGAACAATAAATGAATCACCCTTAATGTGCAGGCTGAGCAGGAGACAACTGGTTTGTGGCCAAATGATGTATTTTAGAGATGGAGACATTTTTAAAGGGCAAATATGATATCCACAAGGAAATTATTTCCATAAAATCCCTGACATTTGTTTTCAGCCTCTGAAAACACAAGACCACTTGAGAACTTACTACAGAGAGCTCACCCATTCACCCGAGAGACCATTACACTGTTAGAAAGTTCCTTCATATTGAGCTGGAAGTGCCTCCTTGTAGCTTCCAGTCTGAAGTCCCACAGAATCATCTACATCATCTTCTCAGAGCTGGCATACCTTCAGCCCCAGGAGCTGGACAGGAGCAGGAGAAACAGAAAAGCCAGGAACTCTGTTGCTATTTTAACTGGGATTCCTTAAGATCAATCACTTTTTTTTTTTTCATGCTAGGAGCCTGGTGGCATACTGTACCTTTAATAATATAGAGGGAAAAAATGTTAGCCTGCTGTCAGATGGACCTGTCTGTATTACATCAGAGCTGTGCAACCTTGGATAGGTTACTTAACCTCACTGATCCTTTTGCTTACCTATAAAGAGAATCATCTATAAATAGGAGTAGTCAAACCTGCTGTGCTAATCTTAGAGTTGTAATGCTCAAAATATGTCACGTACATGAAAATATCCTATATGTTATGAAGAGCTCTCTATATATTAAGTTTTACTGTAATGACTGTCCATCTTCATCTTTTTGGCAGCCTTTCATATCCCCATTTTTGACTGGCGGTAGCTGACTTCTTGGCCTCATAATCAGGATATACGGAAAAGTTCTTATTTCAGCTTTATACCCCAGACACAGTCGCATCATCAAACAAGGTGGCATAGAATCGTGAGAGAACCAAAAAGCACTGTGAGGACCTTGGATGAAGAGTTAGAGAGATAAGCAGGGACATTTTCTGAACAGACAGCACAGGGAGAGGCCGGAGCCCTGGCAGTGAGGAGAGGGTTAAATCCTTCCCCTCTGCAGTACAAAAGAAAAGAGTGTGCGGAAAGATTAGGATTTTTGCTTTTACAATGGGAGCTGCAGAAGCGTAGGGAAGAAGCTGAAGAAAAAAAAAGGGGGCGTCTCCCCTTTAAAGACTTGCAGAGATTGAGAGAGAAAGAGAGAGAGAGAGAGAGAGAGAGAGTCAGGGACAGAGAATCGGAGAGAGCGCGGGCCAGTCTGTCTGTCTGTCTCTGGGAAGGGAGAGCGTCTCTGCTTCACAGTGATTAGCACTGGGGGAGAGGCATCCGTTGGCTTCAGACCCAAGGAGAGACCAGACCAGGTCACCCCGGTTAGGACTCAGTGAGCTTTGCCCCTCCCTACCCCACCTCCACCCGGGAATGTCTCGGCGAAAGCAGCGGAAACCCCAACAGTTAATCTCGGACTGCGAAGGTCCCAGCGCGTCTGAGAACGGTGGGTGCCTGGGGAGGGGTGCGGGAGCCCTGAGTCCCAGCCCGTGTGGGTCAGGCCAGGGCAAGGGAGGGCACCCGGGCCACGGGTGAAGCCAGGGGAGGACTTGGTCACTGGGGGTGTGAAGGAATTGGATGCAGGGAGCAAGTAGTAAGGCGTTGACCGGTGCTGGGGAGAAGCCCCCGCTTGGCTTTTCGCAGGATTGATTCTGTTTGTGTTCTCCTTGTTTTTCTCCGAATGAAATGGAGTTTTCAGACTGGCTCTGTCTCCCCACGCACGAGTTTTCTCCCCGGGCCCCCCTTTGCGCACTGGTCTTTGTGCCGTTGCTAAGTAACCTCCTCAGACCTGGGGGCCGGCTCTTAGGGGTGGGATTCCCCCCCTTTTCTTTCCGGAGAGTTGGGTTGCAGGAGGATGAATTGGATAAACGTGAAGGTTGCCCTGAGGGAGAAGAGAAAAAAGTTTCTCATTGTTGGGCTGAGCGGAGAACAGATCAGAGCTCCCAGAGGGAGAGAGCTAATGTCGGTCAGATGCAGCCTGGTTTGGGGTGCGGAGCCATGTCACCTGGGGTAGAGACCGGAGGGCTTAGGTTTGTGCTTCAAGGGAGGCCAAGCTAAACAAACAAACAAACAAACAAACACAAAAAACACAAAAAACAAGTATGAGTCAACATACTTGCATCTTTTTTTTTTAAAGATTTTATTTATTTATTTATTGGAGAGAGAGAATGAGAGAGACAGAGAGCACATGAGAGGGGGGAGGGTCAGAGGGAGAAGCAGGCTCCCCGCCGAGCAGGGAGCCCGATGCGGGACTCGATCCCGGGACTCCAGGATCATGGCCTGAGCCGAAGGCAGTCGCTTAACCAACTGAGTCACCCAGGCGCCCCCTTGCATCTGTTTTTAAAGTAACAGATTTTCTGGGGCCCCTGGCTGGCTCAGTCTAAAGAGCATGCAATGCTTGCTCTTGAGGTTGTGAGTTTGAGTCCCGCATTGAGTGTAGCAATTACTTAAAAAGAATTAAATAAACTTAAAAAAAAAATAAAGGAACAGGTTTTCTCTATGAAGGGGGGAGGGTATTTCCTGTGTTCTTAGAGCAGTCCAGGACGTGGTGGATAGTGAAGCAACGAGGGTATTGAAAAGTGACATTGCCCAAAGTCTCAGAAACAGTGAGAGGCACGCACTGTCAGGACCAAAATCTAGGATTCCTGAGGCTCAGGGCTGGTGGTGCTCACTCTGCTACATTAGGGTTTTTCAAACTTGCTTGATTGTAGATCCGGGCTAGAGTCTGGGAATCTCTATCTTTGCAAGGGATCAGGTAGTTCTAGGATCAGGCAAGTTTTGGACATACTGCTATGGCTATATACATTCATGCTGTGAAAGTCTGGAAGTCCTGCCTCAGGGATAAGCTATTTAGCAAACAGTTGATCCACCCGACAGTGTAGTGTAGTACTAGGAACAAAGGTTCTGAAGCCAGACTTCCAGAATTCAAATCCTGGTTCCACCACTTGGTTAGCTGTGCAACTTTGGTTTACTTTGCCTCTCTGTGCTGTTTCCTCATCTGTGAAACACTAGCTACCTCCTTAGGTTATTGTGAAAATCGGAGTGAGTTAATATGTGTAAAGCACTTGGAAAAATAAATAGCATAAATAAGTGTGGTATGGTAGTCCCTAACAGAAATAAGTACTTAATACGTGTGAGTATTGTTAGTACATATGAGGACATTGGCACTTCCTGCAAGGGCTGAAATATGTCCAACGCTCAGGAACCTCTTGGCGAACTTTAGTATTTCTCTAGGAGACGTGTGCTATGGAAAGCTCTAGCTAGGATACTGTATTTGTAGTGACTAAAATGAAGTTATGGATTCAACTTACCTTTCCACCTGTTGTAAAAAAAAAAAAAAAAATGACCTGAGATTAAATCAGTGCTCCATGTGCTAAGGAACAGCCTTAACAGACATATTGTGTTTTGGATAGAACACATTCTCCTCAAGTCACTGCCTTGCTGGGATCCCACTGTGCCCATATTTAGAGGTTCATGGTGGTGGCATCCTTCCCTCCTGGGACACATTCGCCCTCCTTAATGCTGCTGCAGGCCGGATGTTTCCTCCTCAGGCTCTACAGGAGACTTCCCGTTGCCTCACAGTCCTGCTCCCCTGCTGGCTGGATTGTGGAACAATGCTGAAACACCCCCTGCCTCCAACCGCCCCCCCAAAAAACAACCTCTCCTCTCCTCTTCTCTCCCCACACCTCCCAAGTCTGCTCACCCACAGCCCACACCACTGCTGATGAAGAGCCTGTGAGGGAGTCAAAAGAAACTTTTCACCACTGCCCTGAGTGGATTCTCAAGCCCCTCGAGCTGTAGCTCCCACTTGGGGCGGCGAACACTCCGGGGCATGGGGATGCTGCTACAGAGTTGTCCCCGTAGAAACCGTGCAGGCTCTAATCCAATGGCGGCAAGACATTTGAGCTGGAATTTTGCCTTTGAGCCATAAAAGTCAGAAACATAAATGAGAGGAGCAAGAAGGCAGCAGTAACCTCTTAAGGTCTGCTTTAAGAAAGCTGAAGGGTTTCCTGATCAGAATTCTCCTGAGAGAATTCTGAGAGAAAGATCCTGGGCTACTTGCATGACCCGGAGTGTCACTGGGTCACATCTGGAGATGAGGTGGCTGTCTCTGATCAAATCTAAAATTCCTTCCTGCTCTTACAAGATAGATAGATTTCCTACTCCCTCCTTTTCCATTGGTAGAGTTCTTATTTGCTTACATGATCTTCAGACCCCTGACTTTTCTTTCTACCCCAGAAGACATTTTCTTGTTCTGCATGTGCCCAAATTAGGTGGTGGTGGTGGGGGGGGACTCTATGTTCATCCTCTGGTGTCCCTGTGAAACTATGGGCATCCCTCAGGAATATCAGCAGACATTTATTTAGCAGGTGAGGGTGTCTCCAAGGTTTTCAGGAGCCCTTGCCTTCTTTTAAGCAATGTTTACCATATGTGACAAGCAAATGCTGAGCCTTTGTTGCACATTTATAAGCCTCATCTCTGCGGTGACCTAAGATGTCGCCAAGAAACAGTCTGAAAAGACCTGTTTTCTAGCCCTGTTTTTGTTCAGCTTCCCTGACCAGAACACCAAAAACCTAACAGAATAGTTATTGCACATAAGTGATGAGAAGGAAATAGTCTATTTACTTAAAAACTCTGGAGAGAAAAAAAATTTTCTCTCCCCCTACAGAGTCTAGAAATCTGGATTAGAGAACATAAGGGATGTGACTAGGGAAAATGTAAACTCGTACATCTGGGAAATAAAGGAAACGATCAGAAACCCAGATATTTAGTGAGAAGGAGAAATCAGGACAACAGCCAAACAGATCTAGAGGGAGAAATGGAAGCTGGCAGACATCAAGAGCAGCAAAAGGAGAAGGAAGGCAAAAAGAGAGTTTTGAGGGTTCTGTTCGTCTTCGTATCTGGAAGTAGAGAACATAATCCCTCAGGGTATGGAGCCCAAGCTTTTCAGCCCTTAGTAACCCTGGGTCAAAAAGAAAACATCTCTGTGTAGATAGAAAGTAACTCAGCTGGGGTGCCATATAGAGCACTGGATCAGGAAGCAGAAAAGCTGGCTTTTATTTTTATTTATTTATTTATTTTTAAAGATTTTATTTATTTGACATGGAGAGACACAGCGAGAGAGGGAACACAAGCAGGGGGAGGGGGAGAGGGGGAAGCAGGCTTCCCACCAAGCAGGGAGCCCAATGTGGGGCTTGATCCCAGGACCCTGGGATCATGACCTGAGCCGAAGGCAGACGCTTAACGACTGAGCCACCCAGGCGCCCCGAAAACCTGGTTTTTAATCCAGCTTGGACTTTGAAGCTAGGTGACCTTGGGTGGGGCCATTCTTCTTCCAGGGCTTCAGTGTTTGGCCTTTATTTTTTTATTTTTATTTTTATTTATTTATTTATTTTTAAAGATTTTATTCATTCATTTGACAGGGAAAGAGAGAGAGAGAGCACAAGCAGAGGGAGTGGCAGACAGAGGGAGAGGGAGCAGGCTCCCCGCTGAGTAGAGAACCCAATGTGGGGCTAGATTCCAGGACCCCAGGATCACGACCTGAGCCACCCAGGTGCCCCTATTTTTTTATTTTTAAAAGATTTTATTTATTGGGGTGCCTGGGTGGCTCAGTCGTTAAGCGTCTGCCTTCAGCTCAGGTCATGATCCCAGCGTCCTAGGATCGAGCCCTGCATCGGGCTCCCTGCTCAGTGGGGAGCCTGCTTCTCCCTCTCCCACTCCCCTGCTTGTGTTCCCTCTCTCGCTGTGTCTCTCCCTGTCAAATAAATAAATAAAATCTTTAAAAAAAAAAGATTTTATTTATTTATTTATTTGAGAGAGCGAGCATGAGCGGGGTGAGGGGCAGAGGGAGAAGAAGAAGCAGACTCCCCACTGAACAGGGAGCCTGAGGCGGGCTCAGTCCCAGGACCCCGAGATCATGACCTGAGCTCAAGTCAGACACTTAATCGACTGAGCCCCCCAGGTGCCCCAGCATTTGGCCTTTAAATAATACACTCCTCGGTAATATTTGTGGAGCATTTACTATCTGTCAGGTACTATGCTAGGCCCTGTATGCATTTCCTCTTGTTTATTCCTCCCAACTCCACTATTATTACCTCCATTAAAATTTTTTTTAAGATTTTATTTATTGGGGTGCCTGAGTGGCTCAGTCGTTGGGCGTCTGCCTTAGGCTCAGGTCATGATCTCAGGGTCCTGGGATTGAGCCCCGCATCGGGCTCCCTGCTCGGCGGGGAAGCCTGCCTCTCCCTCTCCCACTCCCCCTGCTTGTGTTCCTGCTCTTGCTATCTCTCTCTCTCTGTCAAATAAATAAATAAAATCTTTAAAAAAAAGACTTTATTTATTTGTCAGAGAAAGCGAGCGCAAGAGTGCACAAGCAGGGGAAGCAGCAGAAGGAGAGGGAGAAGCAGACTCCCCGCTGAGCAAAGAGCCCAACGTGGGACTAGATCC